CTAAACTGCTTGAGTTCTCCTGTTTTGGATACTTCATTGAAAATAAGTATGCACAGAATCACAGAATCAGCTAGGTTGCAAAAGATCTCTGAGATCATCGAGTCCAACATATCACCCAACACCACCGTATCAACTAGACCATAGCACTAAGCGCCACATCCATTTTTTTCTTAAACACCTTCAAGGGATGGTGACCCCACCATCTCCCTGGGCAGCCCATTCTAATGCCTAATCATTCCTTCTGTGTAGAACTTCTTCCTAATGTCCAAACTAAACCTCCCCTGGTACAACTTAAGACTGTGTCCTCTTGTCCTGTTGCTGGTTGCCTGGGAGAGGAGCCAAGGAGTATGCTCTCACTTACCAAATCCCACTACAGGCAGCTGAAAGTGTTATGATTTTATATGTCTTATTCTAGCTACTTACACATAGATGAGTTACACCACGTTCAGTCTTGATCTTTGACAACTTAAGGGTTTATTTAATACCTCATGCTATACACAACATTGGAATAATATTAGTATTCTGACACTTTGTAAATTACACAGAGGTGCATGAAATGGTGACAAAGAGATTACATGGTGATTTTGCAGATTTCTCAGAAAAGAACCCCCTGGAATTATGATTTTTTTTTCCTCAAGCTTTAAGACATACTTTATTTTGGTAAAATGCAATGGCCTTCAGTCCCTGTTGTTGGTGGGCATGAACTCCACAGTGTAAACATTTCAGCAAGTACCACTACATCTCAAATCAAACAACATGTCTCATTGATGGCTGGTGATTGTGGACACTATGGCTCCCTGCTTTTTCTTTGAAACTCAGAGGTTCAGTGCTACAGGCTGAGGCAGAGTGGCTGGAAAGCTGCCCAGTGGAAAAGGACCTGTGGATACTGGTCAGCAGTAGCTGAACATGAGCCAACAGTGTGCCCGGGGCACTCTGGCTTGGGTAAGAAATGGTGTGGCCAGCAGGACCAGAGAAGTGATTCTCCCCCTATACTTGGCACTGGTGAGGCCACACCTCAAGTCCTCTGTCCATTTCTGGGCCCTTCAATCCATGAAGAATATTGAGTGCTGGAGAAGGTCTAGAGGAGGGCAACAGACCTGGTGAAGGGTCTGGAACACAAGTCCTATGAGGAGCAGCTGAGGGAGCTGGGGTTGTTTAGCCTGGAGAAAAGGAGACTCAGCGGTGACCTTACTGCCTGAAAGGATGTTGTAGCCAGGTGGGCGTCAGTCTCCTCTCCCAAGCAACCAGTGACAGGACAAGAGAACACGGCCTCAAGCTGTGCCCGGGGAGGTTTTTAGGTTGGACATAAGGAAGAACTTCTTCATAGACAAGATGATTACATACAGGAATGGGCCACCCAGGGAGGTAGAATCACTGCCTCTGGAGGTGTTTAAGGAAAGACTGGATGTGGCACTTCATCATATGGTGATATTGGGTCATAGGTTGGACTCAATGATCTCAGAGGTCTTTTCCAACATAATTAATTCTGTGATTCAGTGTTTTACAATACTACGAAGTTCTGCAGTTTGCAACTGACATACAGAGGGAGGCATCTGAGCCATTGATGACATTTGGCCAACTTCACCTTAGTTTCTGGCAGAGCTGCCTCTCTGGCAGTGACATTCCTGGCAGAGCTGCCTCTCTGGCAGTGACATTCCTGGCAGAGCTGCCTCTCTGGCAGTGACATTGCTGGCCAAAATTTCCCTCAATTAAATCACAGGCAAATTTCCCAACACCTTGAATAAGAAGAGGATTGGGTCCCATGACCAGAAGATACATGTGCATCTCTCATTGTATTGTAAGCAGCAAATGCTCGTGATTGCAGTCTAGCAATCCAGACTTAAGGGCTAGTAACATCTGAGAGCAAGTCCATTATATTAACACTCAAAGACATAGACAGAACTTATTTACAACACGAAAAAAGATAAGGCCTTTACTCAGGGAAATCCTGCAAAGCAAAATTTATTCCAATTACATTAAAATATTCCTTCTCTGATTCAAGTCATCTACTTAACTAGGAGAAACATAAACCAAACAAAAAAATTCCAAATATCCCTCCTTGCTGATAAAAAATAAAACCAACACAACATAAGCTATTACTATATCAAAAATATTTTATTTAGACTATTTTTCATTAAAATTTACCAGTGCAACTAACTTTCCTGAACATTCTTTAAAAAGAAAAGAGCTCAAAAAGAAAACTCCTAAAATATATTTCCTACTTCCTACACATATATTTCACAAGGGACTTGCTTTATTTCATTCTGAATGTAATTCATCATTTATAAAACTGCAGTGCAGGAAATATTTCACAGAATTTTATGGTGGTAAAATGCAAAACAGAAACACTGCTTTAGAAGCAGCAGGTACCATTTCTAGTCTAGGACCTGTATTGGAAGGTAGCTGCTTTTCAAGCCTAGCAATGGAACAATTAATAAAGAAACCCATTAAGGTCTGATTGTTGCTGCTAAAAAGGAAGGTTGAATTTCAGGCCTTTGAAGTAACTGAGAATGATTCAGGACTCATTACAGAGATATAATCTACATTCATACATTTATGTTAGTGATTCAAATCTATTGGGACAGATTGAATTCGGTTAAATAGTGCATCTTTCCTGTGGAACTTTTCTCAGGCTTTCTCAGGCTAACCTAAGAGGTGACCTGACAATACAAAGTAGTGGGATATTTAGGGATTCAACTGTGCTATAAAAGAAAGGCTATACAGAAAGTAGAAAAAAAGAATGAGATATAATCTAAAAAGCTATGTCAGCTTTTCATTTGGACTTTGTTTTGTAAATGCCCTCCTTGTCATCACACAGGATAGAAAGGGACTCTATGCATTGCAGTAGTTTAACGTACTGCCCTGAATATTGCACCTGCCAGATGCAGATTTTATACGAAATTCTGCACATGTTGAATTTCCTGTTCTTAACCACAAAATCCAACAACCAATATACAGATAGTCATCAGCTAGAAATACAGAACTCTGCTTGAGTAAATTCAAGACATTATCTATTTTTTCAGGGTTAAATATACTTGTTTGACCACCACTTTTTTCCTCCCACTAGAGATCCAGAATGTCAATTCATTTTATTTTCCAGTATTAGACAGTAAAAGGGGGGGGGGGGGGGGATGTTTTTTGCTGTATACTTTTAAGATACTATAGTACTTATTTATAATTTAAGCTGTTGGAATCAACTTCAATTTTAGAAATAATGTATAGTATCCTTTGTGACCCATGCAGCAATCAAACACTGACATCAGTTTGTAGACATACATGTAAGCTGTCAGGCATTCCCAAAAAAGAGGGATTTGCCTTACATTTTGTTTTATTTGTCTATGTTTTTTATTAGTTACCAAAAGGAAGAGCCTTTGCAAAAAGTAAAGCCTAAATAAGATTTGCAAAAAAAGATTTCTGAAATGCTTTCCACTCAGTGCAAATATATACAGAATAAATACACTGAAGTACCATAAACAACATCGTAAAATATACTGATTCTAACATTAAATGGTTTCATTTTAAAGTCTGTTTAAATGTCAGCCCCAGAAGCTGAACACATAAATTTAGGAGCCAACTCTCTCCAGAATAAACACCATAATTGGAGAAAATAATTTCTAATTTCTGTTGTGAAGTTAACATATATTTAACATCCTAATCCAATGAATCTGTCTAATTTTAGAACTGTTTGTTCTTTTCTCCATTTTCTGTTGTTTCAATTAAGATTTATTCCAAATGCCAAATGGAATTACATAGGCGGTTTTCCATTGCATTCCACTGATCTATGTTATTTAACTGCCTCTATTTCAAATAAGTTCTGGGTTTACATATTGAGCTACACACTGTGTTTCTGTACCTCTTCTTTTCTCCATTACTCCATTTTCTTAGCAAATGTTTCACTCACTTGCGTTCCAAAACAGTTCTTTAACAATGCCAAATACTGACCAACTTTTAATGTCTTGTATGCTGCCCAAATCCTGTCAGTCAATAATGGTTTAATCTGGTGTTAAAAGATAGTACATCATATGGAAGATGCTTGTTAATTACTGGAAAAGTTGACGGTTCAGTGATGAGCTAGAAATATGAATCCGTCATAACATTCAATATGTGAAATGACAAAAACACTAGGAGAGATGGAATCATAGGAAAAACCAACAACATATGTCCCTCCAGGAAAATAATAGCTTGAAAAATCGCTTAAAATAGTCTTCAAAATGGAAAAATTGTTTCTTTCTGGCAAAGCAAACTGCATTAGTTAAAAAAAAATAAAAAAGACAGCAAAATATTCAGACGGATTTTATGGGGAAACCTTTGCAATGCCAATAAAACCCCTTTTGCTTTGAAGTCAGATGCATGATTCAGTAAACGACTCATGTTAGTAATTAGAAAATGGTCATTTAGGGCCCTGATTTCTTTTGAGACAAGGAGGGTGAGGGTGGGGAAAGAGACACAATAAATCTTGAGAGGCTTAAAAGGAAGAGGAGGCTAAAGTGTGAACTTTTTATTTCAGCAACGGAAGCGAGAAATCAGTGATTCATTAAAGGAGGGAGAAAGACCTCCATGGAAGCTGGCAAAGAAGGAAAAGGACCTAATTATGTCTCTTCCCTTTTTACTCTCTCTGACCAGCATATAATCTGCTTTTCCAGGGTCTGCCTGTAGTATATACTTCTTTCCAACCTCTCCACCCAACCCCTCCTCCAGCGGGGGGGAGGGGGAAATCTAGCAGGCAACAAGCTCCAGGTGGCTTTCTCAATTACTTCACTGCAAAAGAAATAAAATAAAACAAAACCCTCCACTAGCAAACAAGTTGGGGGGGGTTGGGGGTTGTTTTTTGTTGTGTGGTTTTTGTTTGTTGGGTTTGTTTGTTTGTTTTGGGGGGGTGGAGAGGGGATAAGAGTGAAGGAGGAGGGAAGCTTCCCTAGAGGGGATTGGTTCAGCTTGGAAGACAGGGAAATTAGTAAAGCATGAGTCTCCAAGCCATCCTGGTGGCCGGCGCTCCGAGGAGAAGAACGCTTTAGGAGCAATTAGCAGCGAGCCGAAGGCGGCGGCTGCAGTGGCCGCCGCAGCCCGGGAGGAAGCGAGGGCAGCTTCGCAGCAGGCACCGCTCGCTCCAGCTGCAAAAAGGTTTCAGATGTCCCACCGCTGCCTGACCCCCTGCAAATAAGGGCTGACCACCAGAGGCACATCCCACCTCTGACTTTTAATCGCTGACATTTAGGCTACAGCTTCCAACCTGTTTACAACCAAAAGGGGAGAGAAAGGAAAGGAAGGGCGGGGGGAACAAGTTGCGATTTCTCCCTCTCTTTCTCTGGATTTTTTTTTTCTTTTAATACTGTTCTGGAGAATTCAAAGCAAAACAAAGAAACTTCCTCCTCTGGGGTTGTCAGTGAGAAAAGGACGAGTTGTGCAACTGGTTTGGGTTTTGCAAAAAGACAAGAGGGTGGGGATCAGAAGAAGGTGCAAAGCCACAAAGTGTGAGTGTGTGTGTGTAAAGGTGCATATGTGAAAAAGCTATTCCGCACCCCTCTCCGTTGGTTATTATTTATTTTTGTTATTGCTGTTGTTGTTGACTTTGCTGTCATCTATTTTTCAGACCTTTCTGCATCTAAGATAGTGAAGAAAGGAGTGAGGAAGTGAACAAAATAACTCCTGGGAAGTCTCAAACAAGGTTGGGGAGTGTGTGTGTATGTGGGGGGGTGGGGAAGGGAAAAAGGAAAGAGGATTAACCACAGCAACACCACCACCACCCCCCCCCAAAAAAAAAAAACCAAAACAAAAAAACACACAACCAACAGCTCTTTTTTTCTGAGGGAGGACTCGAAGGATTAAAAGGCAGCAACTTCTGAGGCGATTTGTCCCCTGAGTTATGGATGTTGGTGCACTTACTTCAGGCCTGATCAGAGCTCAGAGGGATCTAACCAGAAGCAGCAACAACCGTCTCTCCACTTGCCTTTTACCAGGTTTTACCCTTCCAGTATGTTTCATTTGATAAGACATTTTCCAGCGCCCAGAGTTTCAGTACAATGTGCAAATGGATACTGACAAATGGTGCCTCAGCCTTTTCCCACCTGCCTTGTTGCTGCTTGCTGCTGCTCTTCTTGGTGTCTTCTGTGCCTGTCACCTGCCATGACCTCGGCCAGGACATGCTGTCCCCGGAGGCCACCAACTCTTCTTCATCATCATCCTCCTTCCCCTCGTCCTTCTCCTCTCCTTCCAGTGCGGGGAGACACGTGCGGAGCTACAATCACCTTCAAGGAGACGTGCGCAAGAGGAAGCTCTACTCTTACAACAAGTATTTTCTCAAGATCGAGAAGAACGGCAAGGTCAGCGGCACCAAGAAGGAGAACTGCCCCTTCAGTAAGTACGGCTCCGCCGCCGCGCCCCCCGGCGCGGCTGCCGCGGCCCCGGGCGCCCGAGCCCCCGGCTGAGGAGAAAAGGGAACGGACGGGAAGGGAGAGGTGAGGCCGGGGAGGGGAGGGGGCGCGGGGCAGGGTGGGGTGGGCTCAGCTCGGCTCTGCCGGGACGCCTCTCCCCGCCAGCCCGTGTATCTGCCGGTCTCTCCAGTTACATTTGTCTTGCAAATGGCCTCGGCTGAGCACCGTTTAGTTTCTCCGCCCGGCCGAAGAACAAATTAGAAAGATTTGGAAGGAAGCGGTGCAGAGTGTGTGTATGGTGGGGGGGGGGGACGGGGACGGGGGGGGGCATTGTCTCCTGAATCTGAAAATCATTATCTTCTGTCATTAAAATGACTTGGAACAATTAATCGATGGCTCCCACGCACACACACGCGCCCGCCTCTCTCCCCGACCCGCACAACAGCCGCCTGCTCTGCGCTCCCTCCTCCCCGAGCCCTGGGCGGGGTTGTTTGTCCCTGCGGGCCGGGGTCTTGCCCGTGTGCCCTCCCCGCCGCGGGGGTGCCCGGCCGCGCTGGGAGCCGGTGCGCGGCCGCGCTGCCGCCCCCGGGGATGGGGAGGCGGTGCTGCGCTGCGCCCCGCGGCAGCCGGGCTGCTGCGCCGCTATACGCTACTCGCTCCATTGTAAACATCTGGGATTGCCTTCCCACAGACCTCACACGCGTTTCATTGTCCTTTTCTTTCTCTCTTTCTCTTTTTGTTTTTCAAGAAATAATTTCAGAGCAAAAGTCATATGGTTGTCTCCGTAGCTGAAGTTTTGAGCTTTTCTGTAGTACTAATTAGGGGTTTAGTAATAGAATGCTTCTTGTAATGTATTTTTGGTGGTTAGTGCTAGAAATGTAAACTTTATTTAGTTTTCCTGGCTGTGCAATCTCAAATTGAAGTAACTGTAGTAAATCACAATATATTGCATTGTAGCTCTTAAGTGCCTATATCCCACTATAGGAACATGCTGAGAAAGTAAGTTCTGTTATGCAACTCTTGGAGGAAATAGACTTTCTTTATTGGTGAAGAACACACTTTGGTTCTTGGGTTGTTTTACATAAATCCAGATAAACCTGGGAATAAATCTTCTGTTAAATTAAAACAACTGAAAGTGATTTAAGGAGATCCCTTGTTAACTAATGTATAAAATATGGAGTACTTCAGCAGGTTGCCGTGATGTATGATAGACACTGCCTTTAACTCAGCTGTATTTCTAGTAAATATTCATATTATAGGCTTGCAAACAATGAGAAAAAGGCTGCAGTGCCATATGTCACTGCTTCACTTGCTCCACCTTGCAACTTCATTCTTTATCATGCACTCTAAGGTTTGTAAAAGCTTTATGTGTGAAAGCAGGTGACTCTTATGGCCTCCCTTTGTCTACTTCATAGAAAGGCAAATTCTTGAAAAACACAGCTCTAAGGAAGGCTTGACTTTTATGAATTTGTGTGGAATGAGGTACTAGCACTGTATTTCTTAGATTACCTTTGGGTTTGGAGGAGAACAGCATTTTCATTCCCCTAAAATGGGATTATGAAAGCTTTGTGTGCGTCTTTGAGAACACCAAATTCTTTTATGCAGAGCACTGCTGCCAAAAAAACTATAAGGTGCCCAGTCTGACAGCGGTGTACTCAGAGAAGTAACTACTCATCTGAGCAGTCCCACTTAGCTAGCAGAACTGTTCAATGAGTAAACTTGTACACATGCATGAACTTCTGCAAGATCTTGCCAAGAAGAGGTGGAATACACTGAAGTGCACATACACATCTTCCTACCATTTCAGTCTACATGCAAAAACAACCCCCGGCAACTATGGGAGAGAGGATGTGTGGTGTGTCCTGGTTTTGCAGGCAGTATATGAGAAAGAGAATTGGTCTTCTCAGTGATGTCATGGTTATTGTCACATTTGCAGAGTATCTGCTGAAAAGAGAAGACTCTAATTTGTTTCATATAAAAACAAAACAATGTCTTTTTTATACATAATTTTATCTTATCTTGTGCAGTGATGAAAGGACTCCCATCATCTTAAAACTTGCAGCTTGTGTACTGCACTTATATCACAAAGTCAGACCTAGTGTACAACATCTTTCAATACAAAACAATTATAATCTGGTTGGCAGAAGTCAGAGTTTTATGTTGGTCATTAATAGTCGCTGTAATATGCAGTGTGAAGTTGTGTTTTCTGTAAAAGCTCATAGTCTAAGACCATTTAAAAATATATTTACTGTGCCTTTATTCAAGGGTGTTTGTGTAGCAAAATGTTGCAAGTGCATCACTAAATCTATGCTTTTCATAACTTCACATGTAGAGATCCCATCATAATACTGCTATAGTCCCAAGCTGGACTGGTTCCATGAAAATATATGATTTATCTTTCATATGGTCCAAAATAAGTAGTGACACATGAATAGCTTTCTGCCATGCATAGAATTAGCCAGACAGGCCACTAAATTGTATCCTGTTTCACATTACAGACTATTTAATCTCTATTATGAGTTTCTGTCCCCAAAACCATGTTTTTCTAAACAAATAAAAGTGACTACTGACACACAAGATTGAAGTATTCTAATTTGGAGGCTAATTTCCTCATATGCTAATGTTTAAAATCAGTTTATGCTGAAGTAAAGCCTTATCAGTAGGTCTGTAAGATCGTGGTATGTTGTGTAATTAAACAACAGCTTTCATGGCTCACTGCCAATTAAGCATGGTCAAGTAAGAAGAACAGTTAGAGAAAGTCAGAATAAACATTCAGAAAACAGAATTCAGCCTCCAGCCTTCAAATGGCTCAAGCAGCATTCTTAGATTTGCTCTACAACTATTGTGTAGAGTGCACTGAATTAAAGTTTACTCTGGCCAATGTATTTCAACTTGATTGCTTTGAATTATTCTGTCACCCACCACAAAGGTGGCTCCTGATAGTTTTGTCAGAAGGCTGGGGAAATTTGCAGCATTTGGCATAGTTAGAGGAAGTCTATCACTGGATAGAAGTAGGACACAGTTTAGGTTTTCTTTTCTTGTTCCTTATATCTGGAAGCTGGTCCTCAAAATGCAGCTATTAGCTTGTCCTACAGCACCACAGCTGTGAAGTCCCTTGCCCCTGTTCTTGACAGAGCTATTTATATGCACAAACAAAGAGAGCTGTAGTGCTTTCTGGAGACTTACATACTAGTTTGGGGGAAAACAAATCCAAAAATCCTCCAATGAGCTTTCACAAAAGCTTTCACTATAGCTTGAACCCTGGGACCACCAAAAGAAGCTTAAACCGTATATTAAGATTGAGAGGGAACTCATATGCAGATTCTGATTTCACTTGCACCCAGACAGCTTTCTTGATTGAAGATAGTAAAACTCTTTGGGATTAATGGATGGCTTGAACTAGCTATGATAAGCTAGTTAAAGAAAACTAGATAGTGTTTCTGAGTGCTTTACTATTTTCAATTGACTTTTAATGCAATTGTTAATAGTACTATGAAGCACACAGACTTCAAATTTACAGAACAGACCTTATTAACTGAAGAACAGTAACAAAATACATAGTGCTTAATTAGCAGCAGCTACGTGCAGTCTGTGGAGGGAGTTCTGCCCGAGCAAACTCAACATCAGGCCATTACTTAGGTACGCGTTTAGGGAGTGAAGTCTGTGTCACTGAGCCTGCATATTAGTGGGAAGAATTGCTGGAGCGATTCCTGCGGGCTTTGGACCAAGCAGTGCTATGCAGAACCTACGGTAGATGGCGGCACAGCCACTGCCTGGTGTTACCGCTGCTCAAAGGAGGTGGACGTGAAGGGTCTGAACCCTCAGCTGCATAAGCTAATTTAGCTCAAGCAAAGCCAAAAGGGCTTACACCAGCAGATATTCTAATAATTGGCCTTCTGAGCATCCCAAGTGGACTAATCCAAGCAGTGCAAAACCACAGCAATTGCAGACTAAAGAGTGTTTACCAGGGGAGCTAGCAAGAAATAATTAGCTGCTTCCCACGAGCTTACCTATTTCAGGCTTTTTTTCTGAGTATGCAATTATCTTTTCTGTTACGCTTTATGAACTGCTGAAGTCCCTGATAGTCTTTGGTTTTGCTTTAGTTAGCGCGGGATCAGCTTAACAACGAAGTGAGTAAAAGTAGGAAAGTTCTGAGCCTCATTCTGTAGCCCAAAAGATTGTAAACAACCTCTTTAATTGCTATAAGTGCTAAACACTACTAATGAGGATTTTGTGTGCATACACACATGATTGATAAATAGAGATTTGTATTACATATTTGGTTATATACAGAAAATTATCATTAAATGTGTTTTGATTCAGTATACTCAGTTTGATACTCAGTTTTTTGATCATACTTCAGGTGCTACAAAATAATAAAGAGTGATATACCTTGGCCTCAGCTATGAAGCTCCAAGCAGATTAGAATAATTGGTAAAATATGTTATTTTACTACTGAACATTTTGTAAGCTAACTGTTTGCAGTTATTGACTCCTCATCATATGGTATTTGTAAATTAATGTGAGAACTTTTCACTGTTTTTCTAAAGACTGATGAGCAGGCATGTGTGTTTTGTTGTTTTACTCTCCACAGAGTTCTGTTTTATTGTTTTACCAAAGAAAATACTTAAAATATGAAGTAATACTGTTTTAGTGAAGTAATTTGAAACTTGGGCTCTTCACTGTGAAATATATAAGTTCTTATGGAGATGATTTCTCACTTTTTTCTTTTTTTTCTTTTTCTTTTTTTTCTTTTTCTTTTTTTTTCTTTTTCTTTTTTTTTCCCCCCACAGAACTCATATAATTTATAACAGCAGTATAAAACCATAGGCACTTAGGATTTATGAATGTGGAAAGAATTGTACTATTTAATGTCTACATGACACTCTCCTGTTACCCTTGCTGCATTCCTGCCTTGTGGACCCTCCATGCTGATACTGTAGTCCTAACATAAATCTGTTCAAAATACATAGTTGTAAGAAG